GGTCTGTTGTAAAAAGTTTGTTGATTGAAATGAAAAATCTATTTAAAGTCTTTTACTAATAAAAAAATGTTTATTACATAATAAACTTTATTAATTTACATATATCCATTGTAATGACAAACACGCTTAATTAATTTTAAATATTTTCCGCTAAGTAAAATTTATTTCTAGACACTTTTTGACTCATTGATTGAGGCGCTTGAGAGCGACCTAAATGTGAGGTTCCTTAACTACTTTTGGATTTAATGAATAAATGCTTAGATGCTAAACCTCAAACCTGACTAAATGCTAGTGAATTAGCCATTGAGTTGGGACTAGGTTTTAGAAATTTGAAAAATGAAAAAGCCATATTATATAAGCAAGTTAAAGAAATTAAAAACTCAAGCAAAAGTTCAAGTCAATTCATATCAATACAACTCAATTATCAGACACATAAACAAGCTATTTATACAAGTCAGTTTTTAAATTATCAAAATCTTCTGAAACTAATAAATGCAGATAAAAATATTACCCAATCACAATGTTTGTTTTTAAAGTATTATTTTTTCATACTTGTTAACTCTTGAATTATTTTTAGTAAGCAAGCCTGTTGAAAAGCCAATTTTTTAATATTATTTAAAGTTAATATTGTATTGGAATAATTTGCAATGATTTTTTTTTAAATAAATATATAAATCATTAGATTGAGGCAATGTATTAATCTAATATTATTTGTTTTAATTGCATTAAAATTCTGCAATTGCTAAGTAGACTAAAAATTAATTACATTGGATAGACGTATATTGTTATGTGAAATCTTTTTTGCACAATAAAGAAGATGAAATATAAAACCCAAATTCTTCTGACAGAAGGTGAAAACATTAAACTTAAAATGGCGAAACCTTATACTCAAAATGACGAAACCCTAATGCTTTCACTAAAAACAGAAAAAAAAACAAAACTGTTTTTAGCAAAATCAAACTATCTGCGTTAAATTTTTAGAGTTCGTGAATAAAACATAAATAGCCACTTTTATGTTTTTTTGAGTAATGCCAGAACTATTATAACTGCCTTATCAAAAACCATAGAATTCATAGAATAACACAAATAATTAATTAAAACATACTGGTGCAAATAAATTTGAAGACCACAAAGTAAGCACCAAGCAATTTCTCACTAGAAGTGTACTAGTATAATACAGTATATAATTCTCATTTATAACTCCTTTTAAACAGTTCAAGCACCTAGTTTTATCCCATCTAAATTTTATATAGGAAAATTTAATTTAGTCCAAGGTGTATAATACCTGGCAAAATTAAGAAATAGGAATTCAAAAGTTTTGAAAAATTCTGTAAAGAAAATGAATGATTATAAAGATGAGAAGGGTCAGGGAAAAAACTTTGGCAAATATTCAATATTTTCTGAAGGAAAAATATAAAATCAAAAAAATTATACAGTATTATGTGATATTATATGCATTTTGTATAACGTACGTATTAATGCGTATTCATGTACATGGTATTATAAAATGTGCATTTTCCCATCTCTATGTGTACCATGAGAAGTGACTAATTAGAATTAATTAATGAAATTTTTTTAAATTAATTTTTTTATTTTATTGGATTTTTTTAAAATAATATTTTTAAATAATTATTAAAATAACTAAAAATTTAATTTCTTTAGTATTTTTACTAAAACACAACTATTGTGTTCTATACCTATACATATTATCTCAAAACTGTTAATTAATTGGCACATAGTGCTCTAAGTCAAAATGTTCTACATCTTCAAAAACCCTTCTCAAATCTTAAAAATTTTTATATACAAACTTAGAAAAGTCAGTTTTATGTATTAATTTTAAATTTTATACTATATCGATAATAATTTTGCAGGTTTCTGCACACCCAGGCTGATCGGCATTTGAGTTGCCTTTAGTTATCATCTGAGGCGAGACATAGCATTAATTTTTAATTCTATAATATCTGAGAAACTTTGAAAATGGTTTTGTCTTTATGAAAAAAACATATATATTAATATATATCATATCATTATGATAATCTCATCAAGAAGACCTAGTACCAGAAAGACTACTTCTTTATTTAGCAGCCAGAGACAACAATCATTGCCGCAAGAATACGAGCCAAGTTTTGAAACCTCTGATTCGGAATTTGACAAGTATATGGATAAAGAGGCAATAGTTAAACCTGGTGATTCATATCAAAGTAAGGACAAAGAAAAAATTAATGCAGAACTCGAAGAAATAATAGAAGAAGATAATGATGAATATATTGAACTTGATTCAAGAGTGGAGAAAGGAGAGGAAGAAGTTGAACAAGTTGAAGAAGAGGAGACAGAGCAAGCTGAAGAGCCAGAGAAAGAAACTGAACAAGTCGATGATGATATTGATGCAGAAGACATAAACGAGTGTGATGATGCAACTCCTGTTGATGACAAAGATGATTTCGAGATTGATGAGGAGGAAGATGAAGATAAGAAAATTGAAGAGGATGAGTATGGTTATGAGAGCAAACCAACTACCACCTGATGAACGAGAGAGTAGAAGTATTTCATGACGTGCACCTCAAAAACAAAAATGACCTATGAGGCAATATAAAACGTTGCCTCAATATCAAACTAGTAATTTAAGAAAAAAGTGTATGTAGAATTTTCCTCAAGTTGATTTTTGATTTTTGATTTATAGAGCCATTTAACTAAATAACAAACAACTTTTATCAGCAAGCAGGCATGTTATTAAAAAAAGCATTAATAATATAATTATTTCTTTAATAAATAATTGTATTATTTTTTTAAAGCATGACAGAATCATCACCTTTCTACGATGCTCATATTCTTACCAAATGACAAAGAGCTAAGTTAAATAACAATTATGATTCAGACTTGCTTCAACTTCCAATGGGTTAGTACTGTACACTACTGACTATAGTACCTGGCATGACAAATAATGTAGATCAATTTTTTAAAATATTATTTATGTAACATGTGATGTAAACAATTGCACAAAGCATGTGATTTTTAATTTTTCACTATGTAAAAAATTGTGTCACACCGGGTACTATAGTCATTGGCATACGATATTACGTTATATCCTAATATCTTTAAATACTACAAATACAAATGAGAACTTATAGATCTTAATTAAATTATAAATATTAGACTAATGAAAAAAAAACAATTAACTGAGGAGGAAATGCTTTTAAAAAAGCCAGAGATTGCACAAAGAAGAAAGCATCAAAGCATCCAACGTGCTGAACAAGATAAGGTACTTTATACTATTAGTGTATACCTAACCTTATTCAATGCATAATTTCTTATACACATACATTCTATATTAGATGAACACAATTAATCACCTTTTAAAAAAACAAGCATCTAAAAAACGATCAAAGAATCAGAACGAAACTGATAGTATTAACAAAGATGATAATGTAACGAATCCACAAACACCGGTTGCATTTCGTTATGTTACCAACAAGGATGGTTGTACATTATCAGTTCTATATGATGTTGAGATGCCAATTCAATTTTTAAAAGGACCAAAGTAAGTGTTAAATATTACTTGGATTTTTTTTTTTATTTACTAAACTTATTGGTTCTAAAAATCTTTCAAGTTATCTACTACCTATTCCTTTATGTTCAGTATCTGGTTGTACGCATCCTAAGAAATACCATTGTGTAAATATGCTCAAGTATGCATGTTCTATGGAGCATCTTAAAAAAGTAAATACACTTGTCACACAAAAGTTTTGATAGATTGTAAATTTAATAATGTAATTGTACAATATGATGATCAAAGGTAATTAAAAACAATTTAAAGGAAAAGATAGATAAAATATGAATATTGCTAATTATAACTGGCGGTAATAATTATCGGTGTCACGTGATCAATTATTGCGCTTTGCAAAAAGATGTGGTGACGTGTGAAAATCAGAGATTCTGTAGATGAATTAATAGACAATTTAGAATCTCGGAAATTTTCCTCGTTTATCATCACAAAAATCATCTTTTTGCAAATGGTTATATCTGACTTTGCAATCACAATCTCGATCACGATCATTTAATCAAGAAAAATTAATTATAGAGATCACAAAATTATGCAAACCACAATAATATCAATGATTTTATTTTATTTTATTTTTTTTTTGGTATTAAGGTGAGATCTTGCTCATATCTTTATTGATTAATTTATATAAGTAATTATATATCAACTA